TTGAACCCCCAGCCTTCTTGTTAGCAGTCAAGTGCTTAGGCACTAAGCTACCCCAGACCTCCCTTGAAAGACCGTGGTGAGGAGGAAATACTCTCAATGGGCAGAACTCTGGGGATGGACTTGATAATCCATTTTGTATGCAAAGAGAAATGACCTCAGGTAAGAATATATATCAACTACTGGGAAGTGGCTAAAGTCCTGGAAGGTGGAAGATTAGGAAGAAGGAGGTCTGGGGAAGAGGCCTGTGGGATGAACTGATAGGAATATGAACAGAGTATTAATATTTTTATCACTTTTGACACCTTCCAGAGATCATTCACTATAGAACAGAACAGAAATGACAGAATAGCAAAATCAACTGATGACAATCAGCCTCTATCACTTGCCACCCCAGGGCAGTAAACAGTTGTATGAATGGAGTCATCAGGGTGGAAGGAGCTATGCATGAATGAAAAGGTATGAGCTGCTTTTTGCCAAGCCTAATGTTCAAACGTAGACCAATGCTGAGCCCCAAAATTGGCACCATCCACCAAGAACATTGGAACTATCCACTTCGTAAGAACAGCTATTCATCTGTAGTATTGATTTGCCTTTCCTACCTGCAAGGCCTCAGCCAGCAACACTATCTAAGGACTTACACAATTTTTGATTATTTGGTAGTCAAAATTACCTGGATTCCATAATATCTTTTTGAACCAAGGTTTCCACTTCACATGATCCACTTCTCACATGATCCACAGTGGGCACATGATCGACTTCTCATCACAAATCCTCCTACCCCAAAACTGCTGGCCTGATAGAGTTATAGAATGGCCTCTTAATTATGAGATGCAGCTTGCAGTTTATATTCTGCAACACCAATCTTCTTGCATATGGAAATGCCATAAGTCAATGGCCACTTTATGGAGCTGTGCCCTGTATAGGTCTAGGAACAAAGGAATAGATGCAAGAATGGTCATGCTTCCCATTATTCCCAATGACTCATTTGGGAAATTTGTGCTTTGTGTCCCTCTCACTTTAGGCTCTGTGGGTCTGGAAGTCCCGTTTTCTAGATGGACAAAGCCTCCTGCAGATGTTACAGCAACAATTCCTTTTAACTCAGTCATTTTGAACTGCTAGATACCAAGCAACTAGCAGGTAAGGAAAGAAATCATAAAACTGACAATAGTAACTGTGACCATGAAGAGGTGGTAGGGCTGCTTTAACACCATGGGGGCAGGGGAGGATATGTTTGACAGCCAGATGATGCTCTTGCACATCTCTCAGTTCTCCCATGTCTAGTATAAATAGATAAATGCAGCAGCCATGTCTTAAAAAGAGCTTGGTTCTTAAAAGCTTGCAAGCAGCCATCTAGATGCAACGATGGGTCTCTCCTCATCCAGAGCAAAGAAGAAGAAAACCAAAGATTCACGGAAACAATTAGTCCTAGAGACTGGTACACCATGTGATCTGCAGCCTATATGACTATGAGACCAGAACTAGATGGTGCCCAGCTACCACTGCCAACTACTTGGAGTAGGGTCTATGCAGGACATCCTGGATAGAGAGGGAAAACAATGTGCAACAAAACTCAAAATAACTTGGAAAAAGAAAAAAAGAGGGTGGGGAGTGGGAACAAGGTTTGCTGGTCTGATAGAGCCTGGTGGATCTACTGAGACTATGGCCCCCAGCTGTCCTTCAGGTCTGGAATTGAACCCACACCTGTGGCTTCCAGCCAAACAAAGACAGGCATATGAGTTGAACATTTTCCTGAGGTAGATACACTCCTTGGAGAGAACAGTCATGGGAGAAATAAGGGCAGCGTATGCACAGGGAGATACCTCAGAGGGCAGGAGTGCATGGAGGGATGGACATGGAAGAGGTAACTATCAGGAAGAAGTGGGAAGGGAGCTGTTGGATTGGGGTAAATTGTAGTCAATGTCATGAGAGAAAGTGTATGTGAATTGCTGTATGGAAAGTGAATTTTCTCTGTAAACTTTCACCCAAATCACAATTAAAAAAAAAAAAAGCTTGGTGACCAGTGGGTCACATCCATCAGTGGTGAGCGCTTACCTGGTAAGGTAACTCAGACACCTAGGTCAATGGATGTTGACCAAGATCGGGAGAATATGAAATGGGTAGTAGAGGA